TGTGTTGTGGTTGTAAACAAGGGAATCTAGATTAAGAATGAAATAGTCTTATTTTAGTAAGTTGAGGCACAAAAAAAATAACTACTGCAATTGCATTTGATTATGATGCTATTATTTTAAATTATGTCACTATAGTTAATTTCATATTGTTGATTTGGCTCCTCCTTTCATGTTATTTCTTGACATGACTTTTTTACATCTTATATAACGATTATAGTCTATATTAGTATGGGAAATGAGAATTATATATGTGAAAAATAATATTGGATTTGTAATAATGTTAAATAATATGAGATGTGTTTTTAAAAAGATATATCCAAAGGTTCTTGATAAATTAACATGAGCAAATCAAAATTTGTCTGTTGTCAATTTTCATGTTATTTAAATTGAGTTTTAAATAATATCCTACAAGTAAAAAAAAAAATATATGAATATAGTGTCATATTCTTCTACACTTGACATATGCTATAGCATACATAAGGTAAGGTTTAATATTGCTCATGTAGTTAGTGTAATTAGTCGATTTATCATAGTTATATTAAGCGTGGGTGATTTTCATTGTAGAATTTCTATTTTTGACCACTTGATATTATTATTTTCAAGGAAGTAGTGCTTTGATAGTCAAAACTATAAAAATATGTTCCTTTTTTTCTTTTTTTGTTCTAGTGAGTTTAAGTATATTAGTGTAATAGAAGCTTGTAAAGAACACTTATAAATGAAAATGCATATTGAGCTCAATCAAAAAAAAAATATTATCTAATCTAACTTTTTATTCTAGATTCAAACATATTAATGTCAGATATTATTGGATCAAAGATATTTTGGTGATAAAGTTATTGCGTCTTATGAAAACTCATAATGGTGTGAATGGATCATATGACTAAATTATTATCTTAAAAAATATATTACTTGTAGAGAGATATCAAATATGAACGAACACCCATATGGTTAAGAGAGAGAGATTTATTAGATGATCTCACCCATGTGTTAAGTAGTGGGACACATAGGGCTAATTAAAAATATACCCCCAATCCAAATATGTGGGTTAAATAAGAAGATGAAAAAAAAAAAATCTTGATACAGAAGGTAGAAGAGAAAGGTTTTCTTTAAATGAGAAGAAATCATCGGATAGCCAAAATCAAGCATCAAGATGGCCAAAATCACTTCTGATTATTATGATATTCTAATATGTTAATCTAAACATCATACTAAATGAATTGATCGATGTTGGTCTTTGTGATTTCTTCACTTAGTTTTCTTTTCTTAAAACTCAAATGAGTGTTAATCTTCTCATAGTATTTAATATCCTCTAGTTAGTCTAAAGAGAAACATGTAAATTTATTATTTTTATAGTGGAAGAATTGATCTGACTTGCTCAAGATTTTTTTGCTAAAAAGAGTAAATTAAAATAATATTGAGAATTTGAAACCTTATCCGATCAATTATGGAGGTGATAACTTGTTAAATACTTTGACAGATCATCATAAGATTATAGGCTCCAATCATGCCTTCGTCACTTATCATTTGAAAAAAAAATGATTAAATTGAAAACGAAGCAATGTGGTAGATTAAGGATAAACTTAGATGTAACTACAAAATCATGCAGTTGATCTAATCTGTTATTTGAGATGAGAATTTTGAACCAGCCAAAGCTTTGTTAAATTCAAGTATGGCTTTTCGTTGAGAGTGAAATTTTTGGTGGGCAAATAATTGCCAACATCACAAAGATGACTGTTTAATTGCCTTGCTCTTGTGAATCAGTATCTGGTCAGTATAAAACTATATATTTCAAATGGATATGTGTGAATTTTTTTGATCTCTTGTTGTTTCTTTAAGTTTAGCTAAAAATAAAATCTTATATAATGTGTTTTCTCTAGGTATCAATTTAGTCAAGGGTTGTAATGGATCTGAAGATGAGCTCCATTGTTAAATCAAGGCCTGTTTAGAATAAAATCCAATCCATCATGCCATCTGCAGCCCATTTGCAGATGTATATGAGCATAAATGATGGGGAGACATGCAAGGAATTTAAACTCCTAGCAGGAAAAATAATGATACTCTGTGGTGGAAAAGTCTTCTGAGCCAAAGTTCCAAATCTAATTGTTGGGAGCTTCACTCACTCATCTAAAGTAAGTTTAGTGTCATGTGTGGCCTTGATTTATATTCCATGATGATATTATGAATGGTCTGGATTAGTTATCAGTCATAAACAGGAAAGCAATGTAGGGGCTGACTTTGGCACTGCTACAGTGAACAATTTTAGTCTTTACTTTGAACTTTATTCCTTTTCTTTAACATATATTGGTGACAGAATCACTGTTTTCATATTGGGATTTTCTCATAGATATGTCCTATAAAAAGCTATGCTGAGAGGTGAGTGGTTGTGCAAAGTTCTGTATCAGGTGAAGCTTTTTTCCTTTTCTTAGAGTGTCCTTTATACTTTTTTGCTCTTCCAGTTGCCATGATTCCTCTATTTTTCTTTCCAAGGCTCAGGTTTCTAAGAATATTTCCTTAATTGTGGTCTTTATGACCATATGAGGATGAAGGTGATTTAGAATTGCAACATGCAAAATATACTTGCTTTACATGTGGTGGATGGTAGATTTTGTACTCCCAATTTTTCCATATAACTTTTAAGTCTGTTCCTTTTCTTAAAATTAACGTGCATAGGCCACATAAAATCTATGAGTATGGATTGATTTATGAAAATGGGAGTTGTGCCTCATAAAGACATGGAGAAAGGGTGGACAAAATGCATATCGATCCGTCTCTCTACTCTGTACGCCACCCTATCAAAGAGAGTGAGAAAAGTGGTGTTATTAGCTAAAGGGAAAGTGAAGTTGCACGGCAGGGTGTATGTAATCTTGTATGTGCTCCATGGATAACAAACAACCGATCTATTGTTTCGCTACAGTCGAATGCAGTGAGAAATATAGTCATCATCGCCTATCGTTTCAGATACATTATTTGCCTTGCGGTGCCTTTCCATCAAGTAATTTTCATGCGCTGCATCAGATCACGAATGGGGTTATTGGTTGTCTCTGTCACTCCTTGTTCATCATCATGTCCAAGTAGAAAAGATGTCTCCTTCGTAGTTTGGCACCAAACATGACAGCCAATTCTACCTTTATGTTGGACTCAGGGAACGGTATCCCTGCGGCTACGTAGGTATTTTTCATGCCCAAAGTACCTGACAGCTGTCTGACAAATGTCTGGGTCTTCCCTCGGAACAATCCTGTCGACAATCATCCGCAATTTGCAAGCAATGCAATGAGCCACTTGGAGTTCTGTACACAGTCTTCTCTTTTGTGACGGATGGCCTTGAAAACGACATTCATGTTCTTCGTTGTGCTCAATCACTGACTCACGCATCTCTGGTGTGATCGTATCCAATTTACTGATGATTGAAGCACAGTTTTCTGATGCACCAAAGTCCAGGGTAGATGATTAAGACAGAGCTCAATCGAGTGTTTGGTCCTGGACATGGTCTAAAGTGGAGTTTTAGCATCATCCATAGAAAGATTGGTCCCTCTCCCTGTCAGATCGAGATTAGTGCTCTGGTGAAGAACCTTTTTAGTTTGAATCATCTTCCAAAAAACAAAAAAAACAAAAACAAAAAAGCTGCTCCAAAGCAGTTCAAAAAGTTGTTTCCTCAACATTTCCTTTTGTGTCCTTTGTGTGTGGAGGAGGATGTGCAGGTTAGCTTTCTGTCATCAGCTGCTACAGAAAACTTGCAGATAAGACTTGGTCGATCCATGTGGATCTAATTCTGGAAGGAGGCAAAGTCCGATGGTTGCAAGAATATGTAGAGCTGGACTCAGGCTTGAAAACACGAGGAGAATGCCCCCCCCCCCCCCACCCCCTTCTCCAACTTGCAGGTCCAAGATGTAAATGTTGGATCCTAGTGAAAGATTTCCAGGTCAATTGTGCCTAACAGGTCTTGGATGCTTGTGAAAATTCTTGTGTCAGAAACCCTGTGGGTGTTCTCCCACCTAACTTTTTTGAGTTGTTCTTTTGCTTGTCATGTGCATGGAGCCATCTCAGCATAACATTCAAAATAGCAGATGGCTCAGAGGTGTGCAGTTTCCAGCTTGGTCAAGGAAGCTTCTTTTCAGAATAACTATTTCAATTAATGCTTCATGCCTCCAGAGCCAAGAGAGGGGGTGTTAATACAACCTAGCAGAATGATTGCAGCAGATTGGCTATCTTACTTATTATGGTGATGGGAGTATGGTAGGTCAGAAGAAGAGGCATTTAACTCCAAAAAAAGACAAGATTTGAGGGACTATCTTTACTCTACTTGTAATATACTTCCTAAAACTCTTTGCTGGCACATTAGTGATGGTTACTACGGGCACATTTTTCTTCCAGCATTGTTGACACAAGTAGAAAGGTTCTATATAGGTTTGGAATGAAAAGAATCAATACAATCAAATCTCTTCTCTCCTTGGAAATCTTTGAACATGAATCTTGTACACAAAGACCCTGAGAAATTAATTCCTTGATGCCATGCAAAAAGGCGAAAAACTTGAATCATTCAAACTGACTTATTATTATTTTTCGACGGTCAGCTCTGAATAAAGCTCTTTATTATGATACAAGGGGATTGAAATGGACATTAGATTTTGCTAGAGAAATATAATATTCGAGAGGCCGTCTTCGAATCAAAGTCTTCATCTCTTTGAGCACTCCACATGATATTTTGACTGAAAAGACTTCATATATATACACATACACACACACAAAGACCTGAGAAAAATTAAAATGGAAGACGACGTGAATCACACAAATCTGATTCTTTTTTGTTTTTCTGCGGTCAGCTGAATAAAATTCTCATCGAGACTTCTTACTTCTTCCATGTGATCTAATGGTGATGATGGACTAGACTTGGAATTGCACCACACTTTGTCTGCTTCCTCCCCGAGCTAGTAAACCAGGATGTTTCGTCTGCAGCTCTTATCTTGCCATGGCTTCATTGTTTCCCATTACAACGAGACGTGGAAAGAAGCTACAGGTGATAAGATGGGGACATGTCGTCATCAAAGCTGGGGAACACATCGAGCAGCCTAGAGTCCAAGCAAGTGAGCCGTTGAATGATTCCCATGATACTCTTGTCTTCTGCCCTTTACGTGGCAGCTTTAACCCCATGGCTCATCATTGGATCTTGCCAGCAAATTGATCGGCTAAGAGCCAGGGCGAAGAACACAGTCATATTAGCACCCGCCCATGCTACACGCATTGGATCTATTCCCACAATTTACGCTGCTAGATTAGCTCTTGGGGCTCTCGATCTCCTCGGTCACCTGTTGCTTTTGCAGCTGAAATCTGACTGTTCCTTTTGCACACCTCAACAAGTCGAATGGGGGGGAGACACATCTTTAGCGGTCACAAAACCGCGTGACGTTCCCCACCTCAAGAAAACAGAAACAGGAACAAGAACGCAAAAGTTCACGGTGGCAGTGAATCCGATTCCAAGGTGGGAGTGGAGAATTCTCCATGTCTATTTCCCACACAGCATCGTCTCACACTTGCTGTTCATACTGAGTGGCAATGTTTTCTTTTCCCTTTTCCCATTTGCTACGTACACAGTTAATCGGAATAAGAAAACATGGCAGCACTCATCACCCAAACAAAAAAGCAGAAGAGAGAAGGAAAAGGAGGATTTGGGAGGGGGGAGGGAGGGAAGCTGGTCACACGGATTTCAAAGAAAACGTAGCGTTTTGTAACTCGCTTCCGAAATTACAGTTGCTGCCACTCTCCAGTGAAGAAGACGAGGAGGAGGAGTTCCGAAGGGAGGCCGGCAACGGCGACAGGGACCCCTCTCCATCCTTCTCGTTCTTTGGGTTTGGGTTCAGGCTGATGGCCACAGGGGGGATCTCGGAACTGCGGAGGTCCGGCGGCGGGTGACGCCACTGTGGGAGCGGCCCCGCCAGCAGCAGCGTCTGCAACAGCGGCCCCGCCCCCATCACCGCCTTCACCAGCCGCCCTTTCTCCGGCAGGCCCCTCATCGCGGCCGCCGCCTCGACCTCGGCCAACGCCGTCAGCGCCGGCGGCGACGCCCCGTTGCTGCTCTCGCCCACGTCCTCTGCGGCGGCAGCCGCCGCAACGTCGCTCCCGTCGTCGAAGGCAAGGGAGTGGGCGGGGTTGGTGTTGGGGTCGAGGTTGGGCTCGGGGTGGGAGGGAAGGTGGGGGTGGTCGCCGTGGTGGAGGAAGAGAAGGAGGAGGGCGTGGCGGGCCTCGTCGCGCTCCCGGGTGGCGACCTCGAGCAGGCGGGAGAGGTGGAGGGCCTGGGACTCCATCCTCCGGAGCTCCTCCTGGGCGGTGACGCGGGTGGACTCCAGCTCCAGGGACGTCCGGAGGAGCGCCTGCTTCAGCTCGTCTGCTGCCGTGGTTCCGCCCGTTTCCTGCGATGCATTCTGACACATCAAGTTTTTGAGAGGTGGGAAGAAAGGAGAGGAGGGCGGAGGAGATACCTGAGGCTGCTGCCAAAGAAAAGAAGCGCCGCCGGCGACAAGTGTCGGAGGGAAGCGATGGAGTTGGTCCATGCTGACGGTTATAATTTGTTGGCAGTGGAGGGTGTTGCTTGGCGTGTACTGCCTTCCCCGCCAGGGGCTATATAAAAGCCGAAGCCATTTGGTTTCTACCATGTGTGAATCATCCCGGTCCACAGTGTAGTTAGATAAGGGTCACACCTCATATGGAAAGTCGATATTACACACCTCAACTATTCTACTCCGAAGATTTTTCTTTTTCCCGGATGCATTAAAATTTACATAGGCAAACATACTGTTCCTCTGCATTGCCAGGATATATACGTAAAACCCAATTCTGAAGAGAGATCGGAACACAACAACAGTTACCGCGTGAGCAGATTACAAATAAATACAAAATGATTTATAAGGGGCACCCATCAGCTTGTAGGCTTCAAAAGCAGCTTATAAAAACTCACTCTGCAATAAAATTGAAATAATGATGTTAATTTAGTGATTACATTGAAGCAGATTCTCCTTGTCCAACCTCAAAAACAATAAAAGAACCAAGATACAAAACAGCTGCTACAATGATTCTAGACTGATAAATACATTCACAATACTTCATTCTCTGAAACTGGCCCTTTTCCATCCAAAAAATAAAAAGAATACAATTTTGAAAGCAAAATTTGGGTGTAAACATGTATATATTGCAGTGACGTAAACTGCGGTGGAGATATAAATAGCTCCCACGCTGGAAAATTATTCAGAAATCCTGAAGGAAAACCTGCTGCTTGGAGGATCACAAGCATCATATACCAACCACGTAACCATTTGGTGTACTGAAGCATGCATACAACAAGAACGCTTTTGCTGTCCATTGCCAACTTTGGAAGAACAGAAGACCTTACCATCTGACTGCTGAGCCGACATTTTCAGACCACCACTGCTGAGCCATTTCATAACTGCTTAGATGACCTTTGTTCGGCATCAGCTGCTGCTGGCATCGCTTCTCCCATTCACACACTATATTATGTATATGCAACAATTATGGTTCCTCACCATCTAACACATTTTACTCCATGCTGTTCTGCATAAGCTCAAACCACTGCAGGAATAGCCAATGCAAGATAACAGTCAGACTATCAACAATATGAAGCACTATTAATTTTCCTAATTGATTTTTGCTACTAGTGATATCATGTAGTATGACTACTACACCAAATAACAGACCAAAAAGTGGAGAAAGAATGCAGCAAAGACATAACCTGTCTCAACAAATCAGCTAGTGTACGTGGAAGTGTTTCAATGTTCCTCAGTATGATATAGTATGGAAAAGGGAAAGTTTTTAGATACTTTGTAAAAGAAAGTTTCTCCCCTTCAAATGACGCTTCCTGAAAAAAAAAATTATATACACAATAATAAGAAAAAAAAAAGAAAAAAAAAAATAGTAGCACAAAGTGATCGTCCACATACCATTAGATCCTCAATAGATTCTTGGGGGCTATCAAGAAGTATAAAGGCTATCAATCGCTTTCGATTTAAAACATCCCTTACACAGCGCTTCAAGTTTTCCTGCCATAATTGCTTTCTAGTAGTCAGGAACAGGGCTACCAAACAAGAAAGAAGAAAAGGTGATGGGGCATTATTTACAGACTAGTGCTTCATCTTTGTTATTTGCACATGAATCATGATTAGCAATATCATGTTTTTGTATCAATCCCTAGTATCTCAAACCAAGTCCAAAATAGTGGCCTACTAATTAACATGATGCTAGGGCAATTATGGAGACAAAGCACTTTTATCACTTATTATACTACGATCTCAAACCATGTCTTCATTAGGTGGACAGATTTTCGTTTAAAATTTGAACAAAGGTTTCAAGGATGAAGAAATTAATAAATGTTATTCAACCATGACAATTAACTATTCCGAATATAACTCCTCGTTTTGAATCTATGATATAAATATTGTTTGTAACGAGTCGCAGGATATATATGCAAGCATACAAGTTTTATTCAACTGCATAAAAACTAATCAAGATCTGTAACTTTAAAATTCACACCTTCTCATGAAACCTTCCATCAGCTATTATCAAAACGAGCTGGTTCAGCGGGTTCTGGCCTGATGGCATGCGTGCTTTTGATACTGCAGTGTCAAGCATATCGTTCAAGTACTTTAGCAGATCAACTACTGGTTCATCAGCTATGGTGTTGTCTTGCTTGAATGACAAGCTAGAAATCATCTGTTCCAAGTAAGCATATATATGCATAAGCAACACTAGACTCATGAGGTTACTGAAACCAGTATTAAACTGATGATAACATGTGACCCACCTTAACTCCAGCTTCTCCAGTAAATGGCTGATCAAAATCGTGAAGTAACCTAATATTCCCCTTCCCACCAAAACTTGCAACTGCAAATTGGCCAACTTCTAGTTGTGACATTGCCCGACACACTGTTACCAGTGCCTCAATAGCTACACTTCCACAGTGGCTTTCAGACATACTGCGTGAATCATCAACTGCAACCACCACTTGATAATTCCTTTTATTGGGTCTGGTTCTCCTCAACCAGATCTTATCTTTCCTGAAATGGCTTGCAATGTATGGTACAACCTGGACATATCAAGAGTTAAACAAGGATCCAAAATTAACAGAAGATACAATCTATGTTTGATTAACACATAATTTTAAGGGGTAAGTGATGAATGTGACGATCTATCAAGGATGGTTAATATACACTTATTTACCTTCTTCATGTTAATGCGTTTTCCAGTCTTATAATCCCCCTGAAGCTTGCTTGCGAGAGTCGGTTCCATCACCAGGCGCAGCTGTTCGGCCAATTCCTGAGACAATCGTGTTGTGACCACTTCATATCTTTTCCATTCTGAGATAGCTTTTTGCAGCGCCTCATCAGATATTGATTCAATTCCCAAGGACCTGGATAACACCTTATCATCTGGTGATGAATCAAGTGGCAGTACTTTTTCATACATGTATGAACTTTTAAATGACACCATGTCCTCATAGAGATTATGCAAATTACATTGTTCCATTTCTTCTGCTGATGTATCACCTTCAACTGCCATGTCGGGAATCTCATCAACTTTTTCCCTGGGAATCAAATATTGTCTGGATTTAAGATTGCTCGTTTCAGAACTCTCCATCACATTACTTCGATCATTATCTTCATTCTTCAAATTGTGACTTTCATCCCCAGAAAACTTGCTGCCTTTGAAGTCGTTTTTGATTTGGTCAGATGTTGCAGCTGCAAGAGCCTGAGAAGTGCTCTTTTCAGCCTCAGACACAAATCCATATTCTTCTGCATTCTCACCAGCAAGATCCTCAACTAATTCTGACTGATGTTCCTGAGTATCAACTGACACTTTAGCTCTTTCTTTCCAGTCTTCCATGGCATCTCCTAGACTTCTGTATGGATTTGTTCTAGTTCTTTGCATGGACAAATTACTGTCCTGTGAATTCTCAGGTTTTGACTGAAATTGATCATAAGAAACCCCTGAACCATCAACAGAGTTGGGAATGGATATTTCCATTTTGGGCACTTCGTCAGATGGTAAAGACCTTGATGGAGCAATGCTACTATTCATGTCATTACTGTTGGCCCAAGAAATCTCAGCATCCATTGTGAAGTCTACTCCATGAGAATTACTTGCGGACTTCAATGATTCAGTTCCATCTGCTGGATACTCCAATGGCTCAATCTTATCTGATTCCAAAGTTTCTTTATTCGACTCTAAATTCATATTTGCAATTTCAGCTTCCTCTTGCCCTTCTTTATTCTGTGAGTTTTCATCAACTTGATTACAACTGTCATCAACATCAGTTTGTTTGGACTTTTCATCAACAACATCATTTTGCTTGGACTTTTCATCATCCTTCATTTCTTCATCAGACTCACTGGGTTCAGAATTAGCTCCATCCACGACATCTGAACCTTGCGGTTCATCCATGTCTACATCTTCAAAATCTAGTGCCTGTTCCTGAAATTGTATTCCTGTTGAATCTTCAAATGCTTGATTTTTGTCCAGCATCATGTCATCAGCATTTAAATCATCATCACTTTTTTCAGATTCCTTGTTCTCCTCAGTTAGCCTGTCACTTTCATCTCTGTCCATCTCTTCTGAATCCTCCTTAGCAAGGGCATTATCATCTTTTGCTCTGAGTTCTCTACTACTTGAATCTGTCTTCTTGACAGCAGGACCTGACTCATATTTCTCAGTTAAATTTTCAGTATTGCCATCTTCATCCCTATCCCAAGGCTTCTCATCAACTACCTGATCACCATCTGCTGTCTGTCCCATCCTAGAATCCAGGTTCAGGTCTTCCTCATCTTCAAGGTCAGTATCATTGGAATCCCCACTCATGCTAAATGTTTCAGCATCAAAATCCTCTTCCATTTCTATGCCTTTATCTTTGTCACTGGGTCCTTTGTCCAACTTATCCTGTCCTTCCTGCTGGAAATTGACAGCACAACTGTTAGAAGCTAACTATATCATAATATGCTGCAAAAACAGTAAGCGCTACTACAAGTACCTTCTCGGAGGAACCAAGGAGCTGATCTTCATCCTCAATCTGATCACTTACATCATTAATGCCTTCACCCTCCCCCATACCAGTTCCACTAGCATCTTCAGATCCATTGCCTGTGGTGGTTTCTATTTCTTCTTGAGCAGAGCCAAATCCTTTAGAAAATACCAAAATAAAAATGTGGGCAAGCACATTTGTCATTTCAGCTATCTGCACAGAGTAACAAGTCAATTCAGTACACAATTGTTTAACGAAAGAAATGAAAGCTGATAAATGAAGAGACAAAAAAGCATACCGCTACATGTGCATCTAAAAACTCAGAAAGGATGCCGTCTCCAAAGGTTAGAATAAGGTCCAAAGGATCACGAAGATTCATGAGTTGCATCTCTATGTTAGAACAAACTTCAGTTTTCCTGTTCGCAGCAGAACTTGCAAGTTTGCTCTGCAAGATAAGTTATATGTGTAAGCACAAAGGTGATGTCATGGTTCACCAAAATTGAAATTGACAATAATTTCAATCTAAGATTGTGAGCAACTAACATTGAAAATGGAGTTTAAAAGGAGAACATACCGCTGCAACAATTGTGATGCTAAGAGAATCATGAATTCTGTCTAGATGGAGATTCATCATATATAACTGAAAAAGATCTTTCCACGATGTTATATTCTCAGCAGACAATTTTTCAACAGAATTATGGTCAC